TCTCTCTCTGTCAAATAAATAAATAAAATCTTTAAAAAAAAAAAGATAAAGATAAATCATAAGGGGGCGCCTGGGTGGCTCAGCCAGTTAAGCGTCTGCCTTCAGCTCAGGTCATGATCCTGGGGTCCTGGGATCAAGTCCCAAGTCGGGCTCCCTGCTCAGTGGGGAGCCTGTTTCTCCCCCTACCACCCTCCCCCCTGCTTGTGATATCTCCCCCCCAATAAATAAATAAAATCTTTAAAAAAAGAAAAATCATAAGGAAGAGAAAATACATTACTGTACCGTATCAAAAAATCTGTGTACAAGTGGACCTTCATAGTTCACATCTGCGTCATTCAAGGGTCAGCTGTACTGATCATTATCCCCGTTTTGCAGGTAAGGAAACTAAGGCTAAGAGGTCAACATGCCTGAGATCACACAGTAAATGGTTAAGGTCCTGTGGCTCTCTATTTTCTCCCAGGAAGGTGTGATTGCTAAGGAGGTAAAACCAGTACCCTTTCTTCTTTTTTTTTTTTTTAAGTAGACTCCATGCCCAATGTAGGGTTTGAACTCATGACCCTGTGATCAAGAATCAGATGTTCTACAGACTGAGCCAGCCAGGTGCCCCAAACTGTTGCCTTTTTATTTTTGTTATGTCTTTTTGTAGACAGTCTATACGGGCATGTTTCTCTTTTACCCAAACTGAGAGTCTTTGTTTATAATTGGGGAAATTCAAACTTGTCATACAAATTGTGATCAATATATGTGAAATTACTCCTACAGAGACAAAATCCCAAGCCAAAGAAACTAATTGCCCCATTTCAACTAGTACATGGGCAGAGTTGGTGGGCTCTCCTGAGCCCCTGCCCGGAGACTGGAAGGGGGTCGCACCTGCTTCCAAGCCTGAGGCCGGGCTGGCCAGGTCAGATAGGGTGAGAGGCCCTTCCTTAGCCCTTCTCTCTGGAGTGCGGTCCTCTGGCTTCCTCTGAAGAGCACGCAGAGACCATTCCCCTGCCTCAAGCAGGCTCTTCTTCAACTAACCATAAAGAGGGAGCAGTTCTGTCCCTTTGATGTCAGCCCTCTAAGAACTCAGGGAACATTGCTTCACTCCAGAAACTCCTTGTCCGCTGACGGGCTCACATGTCAGCTGTCAGTTTCTCTCTTCCCACAAGCTCCAGTCTAGTCAGAGTATAGAACTGAAACTCCTTCCAGCCTCCCCCGGATTCCTAGTGGGGTGTGTGTGTGTGTGTGTGTGTGTGTGTGTGTGTGTGTGTCTACACATGCGTGCTCCCCAGCGGCCTGACTCCAGGAGAGGCCAGGATAGTGGAAAGAATGGCACAGAGAGCAGGGGGCTCCACCTCCTTGGGCTCTGGTGTCTTCATTGTGGAGGCAGATTACACAGACCTCACACGGACCAACCCACCGCACTCATTTGCCTTGCACGGCCTCTTTCCTGGTTCCTCTGGTGCCTTCCCCAATCCTCCCCAGGTCATTGATCGAATGGCTGCTTTCTCCTTCCTCATTCAGGTCTCAGCCCAAAAGTCACCACCTCAGAGAAGGCTTCCTTGACTACGTTTTCTCAAGTTCC